TCATCCAACAATTTTTCTGGTGTATAGTCATGAGTGTCAAGGAGCTCTGGTAGCATAATAGTTACGAGTTGGGCTGCTAAGTTCACAGTCAGAAGTTCAAAACTACCATCAGTTCTGCGGGAGAAAGATGAGGCTTTTCCTGCTCCTGTAAAGATTTACAGGCTTGGAAACTCTATACAGGATCACTATGAGTCAGAACCGACTCCACGGCATACCATACCACCACCACCAGTCATGAGTGTCTAATATATCAAATCTGTTCTTGAGATGATTTCTAAAGTAAATGGCATATATTAAAGGTCAGATTTTGACTCTCTTGAACATATTTTAATTTTTACATCTTTAGCCTGAACCTACAATTGATGGTCTATTCCACAGTCTGCCCCAGTCTTGTTTTGACTGATGATGTTGAGCTTTTCCATTGTCTCTTCCCACAGATGTAGTTAATTTGACTCCTGTATATTCTGCCCTGTGAGGTCCACATGTATAGTCAACTTTTATGTTGTTTTAAAAAGGTATTTACAATGAATAAGTCATTGATCTTGAAAAATTGTATCATGTGATTTCCAGCATCATTTCTATCACCAAAGTCACATTTTCTAACCAATGATCCTTCCTCCTTGTTTCCAACCTTTGAATTCCAATCACCAGTAATTTCAATGAATCTTGATTGCATATTTAATCAATTTCAGACTGAAGAAGTTGGTAGAATACTTCGATTTCACCATCACTGCCTTTAAATGTTTGGTGCATAAATGTAAATAATAGTAATGTTCACTTGTCTTCCTTGTATGCATATAGATATTTTCCTACCACAAACCCATTGTGCTTCAAGATAGATCTTGAAATGTTCTTTTTGATGATGAATGTTACGCCATTCCTCTTGAAGTTTTCTCAGTGCTGGCATAGTAAACCACACAATTGTATGATTCACAATGGCCAATACCAGTCAGTCTCAACTCACTAATGTCTAGGATATCAATCTTTATGTTCTCCATTTCATTTTGGCAACTTCCAATTTTCCTTGATTCATACTTTGTACATTCCATATTCTGATCATTTAATGGATGTTTTCAGTTCTTTCTCCTCATTTTGATTTGTTCCCTGCCAACAAATGAAGGTCCAGAAAGCTTTACTTCATTCGTGTCATTGTGACCAACTCTACTTTGAGGAGCAAGTTCTTTCCCAGTCAGTTTTTGAATGCATTTCAACCAGAGGAACTTATTTTCCAGCACTATATCTGACACTATTCTGCTGTTCTTCATAATGCTTTTAGTTTCCAGCACTTTATCTGCCAATATACCACTGCTATTCATAAGGTTTTCGATTACTAAACATTCAGAAGTAGTCTGTCTTAGTCTTGAAGCTCTGCGGATACCTGTCCATCATTGTTGTCTGTGATGGTATTTAAAACACTGGTGACATAGCTTCCAGCATCACAAGAACCCACAATCTACCACAACAAGACAAAATGACAGAAGAGTGGTGGCTATTAAGATTACAGCCAAGAAAATCCTATGGGACAGTTCTCCACTGTCACATGGGACTGCCATGAGCTGGAATTGACCCCATAACAACTAACACAACAGCAACATCATCAACTAACTCAAGGGCAACTGATTTAAAAATCATCAACTGTGTAATACTCTACAATTGCTTTCCTCTGCTTTCCTCTGCCTCTTGGCAGAAAAGGAAAAAGATCGATTTTTTTCCCCCTTCACCGGTGAATGAAATAAAATCAGTTTTTAAACTATTGTACCCAAAGTGTGATCCTAAATCAGTAGCATCAGCACCTTCTGTGAGCTTTTTGAAATGAAGGAGCAGGACTCTGTTAATCAAGTGAACTCTAGCAAGATCTAGCTGACCTACATATACATTAAAATTTAAGGATCAACTGCTTATAATATTACTAACTATAGGTCTTTTCTGTTGTAAGTAGTATGTTGGAATAATCCAGTGCTAAATGGCAGAAAAGACATTCCATTAGAAACAGTGATAGATAGGACAATATATAAAAGAATTAAATAAAACTTTGCTTAGCTTTATTGTTTTGGAAAGCCTTGTTTTATAAGGAAATTTGTCATTTTTCCAAATGCTTTGAGTAGAATCTGTTAGCCAAAATATGATGTGGGCAAAAATTGTACTATTGCTGTTTCTCATTATTCCATTTTGATACTAGAACCACTTCCAAGTATTTTTTAAAGGCATACTACAAGTATAAAATGCATTTTCTGTTAATTCATTTAAATATGTTCTATGAAAAACTCCTTCTTGGTTTTTTCATCCCCTCCTGCAACTTTGTCAGATTCAACTATAACTTACCCATTTTTTCTTCTCCCTACTCAATTTCACCACATTACCCACAATTCAAACCTCATGTTTTAGAATTTGATGTGATTCATATGCTTCTCATATACTTCTCACAAACCCCAAGAGGTTTCCACATGCACATATTAATACAGTTTAGACCAAGGCAGAAGTAGCTTATGGGACTCACAGCAAAGATGCTCTAATTAACATCTACATAAAGAGAAACATTTTGCAGTTCATGAGATCATTTTTAAAAATAAAATTCAAGCAAGTACCACAAAGTAATAGAAATTAACTTCTTATGGATAAGAAAGAAAACAGCTGAGTCATTACGATTTTTGTCTACTGCAATTGAAAGCCCCACAGAACAGAGTTCTACTCTGATACATACACAGTTGCCATGAGTCAGAATCGATTCACCAGCCATTACTGGTTTTTTTTTTTTTTTTAATTAGATTTCATGTCCATTAAATAATAAAATGAATACAATTTGTTTTTGTGCTTGTCATTATTCAATGTCCCAGAAAAATAATAGCCATGAGTCCGATTGTTTTTTACTATACACTGCCACAAAAGATACTTTAAAAATGTCAAAGCATGAGAGAATTAGCTTCCATTGAACATTTGCAATGTTCTGGTTTTCTGCTGTACTTTTCATATTTGACATCTTCTTTGATCGTAACAGTGATTATTATTTTGTTTGTTATTATTATCTCTCTTTTAGTGATGAGATCCACCACTCATCTGTCAGTCTGTCCTGTTGTGGTAACTTTCATGTTGCTATGATGCAGGAAGCTATGCTACTGTGATGCTGGAAGTATTTTAAATTTCAGCTGGGTTATCCATGCTGGACAGGCTTCAGCAGAGCTTCCAAACTAAGACGAGGAAGAAGGAGAGACAGACTACTTCTGAATGTTTCCTCACTGAAAACCTTATGAATAGTAACAGAACATTGTCAGATATACTGCTAAAAGATAAAAAACATTAGGAATAGCACCTTGGGTTTCCAAAGAGCAGCTGGTGGGTTTAAACTGCCAACCTTACATTTAGCAGTCCAGTGCTTATCCTACAATGACACACCAGGACTCCTAAGCAAATATTGATCACGTAAAACTATACATATATAAATTTGGATCTATTCTCATATAGAATGTTGTATTTTTAGTAGATACAAACAAAAACCTTCTCATGTGGCAGCTTAAACTTACATTGCCCTCCTGGCTGGAGGGGGTCTTTATGTTAATGCAATGTCACTTGTATCCTGAACAGACAATGTCTAATGGACTGAAAGAAAGCAATTTGAGATGTTTGAGTGTAGTCCATGAACAGGGCTCTTTTCTCATTTTAGAAATCAGTTCTTGAAGCACAAAAGGACGTTTAAGAAAAAAAAACAAAATCCAGTATTAGTGAAATAATTCTTTGCATTCATCAATAACTTACTTACATTCTCTTTTACAGCAGAAATTGTAAGCCCAACCACAGCTTGTTGTTGTTAGGTGCCGTAGAGTTGGTCTCGACCCACAGCGACCTTATGCACAACAGAAAGAAACACTACCCGATCCTGGGCCAACATTACTACTGTTGCCACGCCTGAGTCCATTGATGCTGCCACTTGGCTAATCCTTTATTGACTATGCAAAGGCTTTCAATTGTGTGGATCATGACAAGCTATGAAAAACATTGCAAAGTATGAGTATTCCAGAACACTTAATTGTACTTCTGAGGAATCTGTACCTGGACCAAGAAGCAGTTGTTCAGAGAACACTGAATGTTTTAAAATTGGGAAAGGTGTGCAACAAGGTTGTATTCTTTCACCATACTTATTCAACCTGTGTGCTGAGCAAATAATCTGAGAAGCTGGGTTATATAAAGAAAACCACAGCTTTAATACCTTTTTATTTAGTATTGTAAACAGTTTTTAAGTGAGGATGACAATTTAATACCAAAGTCTTATCTTAGTATTTGCACCTCCTATCCATGTGGTATGGCATAGATACTTCTGCACTGGTTGATTAAAATGTCCTATTTTACTATTGTATACTGAATGCTATCTACTTTTGGAAAAGACTACTGTTGCTGAGTGATTTCATCTTAAGAGCATTGAGAATGTAGAAGAATCTATTGCTAATTCTGTATTCATAGTCAAACTTCAAAAGTCTAATACATGAACAAGGAATATGAGGGTGATTTTACCAATCAACCACTAAATTCCGAAATCATTCTTTTGGTTCTAGTAGAAGAAAATATGGTGATCTGAAGGAAGTATGAGATGACTAAAAATGGCCTAATTGAGATTTGGCCTCTCTGCTGGAAGAAAGAACATTATACTCTTAAAAAAAAAAAAAAAAGAAAGAAAAAAATCCAAGTGCTCCAACTTTCAAAAAAAAGACAAAAACTACTGCTCTTAGAATGTGAGTTTTCCAAAGGTTAATTCACCATGAGCTTAGAATATACTTTTGGGTAGCAATAGGCAGGGCTCTAGAACTATCCTCCAGGGAATTGTATTGCTATTCATAACCCAAACTATGACTAAAACAGGAAATTTGAAAACAGACTTTCTGAAGTTCCCACCAGTTTCTTGGACACATATTCTGTTAATTGTCCATCCTATTAGGGACAGCACTTCCTCCCAGCAGATGCATTAATACCGAAACAATATACTGTTACAAACAAAAGAAAAATAGATTTACATGAAAGATAGCTGGAGCTGGTTGCCAGGGGAACTGACTATGTTCCAGATACACTCCACATTAGTAGGATAAAGTTCTGGGTAGCCAGGACTGTTGAACATGCCCTCAACCATGTGGAAGATCCCACCACAAGCTAGAAAAAAGGAAAACAAAGTGAGTGCCAAAGCAAAGATTGAATACAAGACCCCATAAGATAAGGGAAAACTAATATTAGCATCAAAGGGTATCCTACTTGTATTTCCATGTTATGTAAGAAAAATTTATAATCACTGGACTGCTAAACACAAGGTCAGTGATTCAAACCCACTAGCTCCTCAGAAACCCTATACAGGGTTGCTATGGTTCAGAACTGATTAAATAGCATTGAAAAACAACAACAACGTATGATGTTGTTATTGTTGTTAAGTGCCGTCGAGTCTGTTCTGACCTATAGTGACCCTGTTTAGGGTTTTCGAGGAGCATCTGGTAAACTTGAACCACTGACCTTGCAGTTCAGATGGCTTTGCAGTCTGGTGCATTAACCCACAGCACCACACCAGGACTCCTAAGCAGCAGTTATTAGAGGTTACACAGAAGGAATCTCTGCAATGTCTTTCTAAAAGCCCTTACTCCCTGGGACCTGTAATATTTAGTAATGAAAGACTTGTTTTTATCAGTACTTCTGATCAGGATTACCTTCAATCCTGATTTAGGACAGAAGACACTATTCCAGATTTTCCCTGTCAGGAGACCACTGACAGACACATGGATATTCTAGGTGTTCTTGGGTACTTAACTGAGAAGGAAGCCAGCAGCTAGTAATCAGGACTCTATTGGTTAATAAAACCAGTACTGAGTGGATCTCCTTTTCTCTCCTTGCCATCAGTGAGAACTGCTGAGTTGGCCTATCACAGGCCAAGTGACATTGGAGAAGAGCCACATAGCTGTTCAAGCAACACCTTGCCTTTGTCATTGTTAGTCAGAGGCTTCCTTGACAATCATTCCAGAAAGGGGAACACCAAGACACAGATAAGCAATCTGTCCGACATAGTTCCATCACAAGGATTAACATAAAAAGGCTAGATTTCCAATTAATTCTCCCACTCATTCACACTATTAGAAATTGTTGTTATTGTTATTAACTGTTGTTGAACCTATTCCCTCTCAAGTGGTTGGTGGGTTTGAACCACTGACCTTATGGTTAGCAGTCCAGTGCTTATCCTGCAGAGCTATACCTTGCTGTTGTTAAGTGCTTTCCAGTTGATTCCCACTGAGTGACCTTGTATAGGGTTTCCAAAGAGCGGATGTTACTTTTATATTGTCAAGCTCTTGGTTAGCAGTCAAGTGCTTATCCTACCGCAGCATATGAAGACTCCTTTGATGGTGGTGGTTATGTGCCGTGGAGTTGGTTCTAACTCACAGTGATCCTGTATAGGGTTTCCGAGGCTATAAATCTTTACAGGAGCAGAAAGCCTCATTTTTTTCCCATGGAATGGCTGGTAATTTCAAACTGCTGACCATGAGATTAGCAGCCCAACTTTTAACCATTACACTACCAGAGCTCCTTATCAGGACTCCTTATTAGTATCTTAATCCTAATTTGGAAGATCACAGAGGTGATCTCAGGAAATACAATTCCCAACTTCAAAGAGTTCCAAATGACAAACCCAGGATTCCTGTCACATGTTGGTTAATCTAACAGATAATTTTGGCAACTTACCTGATGATGATGCAGCATATGAAGCATGAAAACCATCATAGTTCCCTCTGTAATCAGAGACGAACCTCAGCGTCAGGGCATTGCTGAAAGAAGTGATGGGATGTGGCATAGAGATGCCGCAATAACGACCTACATGTGATGATAACAACAAGGAAATGGAAGATGGCATGGGCGTTAGTTCTAGCAAGCATGTCTTTATTCTAACTACAAGAAACCAAAGCACACAGAAGAAATCATTGTCAGGACCACCATTTAAAGCAGGGTCAGTGTTTGACAAATATCTGAAAATTAAAATAAACCATAAACTTAGGCACAGCAGAGATGATGCATAAACATGCTAAAAAACATTAGGCAGCCATAGGAAAAAACATTCGTGATCTGGCTCCGAATGTAACTTCAGCTAAAGCTGCAGCACAGTGGGGATCTATGTAAACAAATGACTAACACCTAGAGGCAATCTATCAGCACAGAGAAAATGTGTGAATCTTGGAGTAAGACTACAGCATTCAACTCTTGGCTCTGTCATGTTACGTGACCTATAGAAAGTTACTTAAATAATCTGTGCTTCAGTGTTCCTGTTTGAAAAGGGATTATATGAATAATAATAATATTTAGATCTAAGGGTCTGGGAATCAATTAAGTTGCTAATGATAAAATTCATAGAATCTCACTTAGCACAATATAAGTGCTATATATGTGTTTGTTAAATAATATATCCTTATCCCTTTTCAAATGCTTACTGACAATGTGCTAAGGCAGTATAATAAGAATAGAACATAGAGCACGAAATATTCACTTATTGTACACTATCTGTGGTCTCAGGAATTGTTCAGACTACTGGGAATGAATCAAAGAGCAAATACAAGCTCTTTTCTGGTGGAGTTTGCATTCTAATGGAGCAGGAGAAGCTTGTATAATAAAGCTAAAAAATTATTAAATTTATAAAGAAAATTAAAGAAACAGTTTATTTTCCCTGAGGACATTTCAGAAAACATTGCTGATAGTTGCCATCAAGTCATCAAAACAGAACAAAACACTGTTTGGTCAGGTGACAGACCAGACAGTTGTCTTCCATGCAGTTTTCGTGGATTGATTTTCAGAAGTGGATCAGCAGGCGTTTCTTCCTTGTCTGTCTTAGTCTGTAAGAGCCACTGAAACCTGTTCAGCACACGAGTATCTACTGACAGGCCATGGCGGTGTCTGTGTATGAGATACATTTCAATAACTTAAATCTTTAATTATGCTGGGATATCTCACATCTAGAATACCAGATATTTCCCCCCGCCTCCCAACACCCACCACTGGCATCAAAGCCGGAAGAAACATACTAAATTTCAGTATTAAAACTTTAGTAAAAACTTGACAAGAAATTTCTGACAGAATGCTACCTAATGTTGGAAGGGGCTATGTATTACTACTATATAAAGTAGTTGCAACATTTTCTTTTCCTTTAAAAAAATACCCACAGACCCTGTGCAAAGCAGAGACACCAGAGATGGAGGCAGAGGTAAAGACATGGAGAGATAGAGCAGCTGAGGACTCTAGATTCATGGAAAGGTAAAGGCTGTGTGCTGATGGCTAGGAGGCAGGCTGCAGAATGTATCCTTTGGTGGTTTAAATGATTACACATTCCTGAGTGTTTTAGTGATTATACATTCCTCCTCCCTAAAACAAATAAACAAACAGAGGGAATAGAAGCAAATACTGTTCAATGATGATGCATGGAGGGGATTGTAATCATTGCACTGAAATTATGAGTATAAAACAGATGTTCTCCCATGAAAACTATCACTCAATTCACAATAAAAGCTAAAAAAATAAAAATAAAAAAATACCCACAATCTACTAATTTCTTTGGATATAAACCAGTTCAGTTTCTTGAATTCCACAATAAGCCCTGCTTTTTATCTTTACTTGGTTTATGCTGTTATTCATATTTATTGGAAACATTCTAAACTTTAATGGCAGACTATGAAGATGTATGTGTATACATAAAACATGCCCAAGGGTATAGATATAAATAACTGAAAACTACTATACCTCGGAGAGGTGCATCATGGTCGCTGCCGTCCAAAATTTCTAAGAAGTCATGTGAACATGCTGGGCTGCTTTCAAGTCCAAAGTGAGTGAAAGAGAGGGTTATATGATTGACTGTAAGAAAAAAGAGATGATTTCCTACAGTACTGGCAAACAAAACACACAAGGGAGAGAAATTTTCCCCCAGGTCAGTGCATAAGAAGATTCCCCACCAGGGAAACAAAGAATTTGGCAGATTTTCACTGCCAGTGATTATCCAGTCAGAGAGAAAGCAAAGGAAAGAAAGTTTCCTTTGAAGTGTAATAAGATCAAGGTTTTCTAAAATGTCTGTAGAATCAGAAATACGGGGAGTGGTAAATAAGAGAACACTCTTTGGTAAATTCATTCCAGAAACCCTGGGGATCTATCTGGGTGAAAAGATGATTCCTGATCATCTTTCCTATATTGCCTATTGTTGTATTCTGCTTGTAAGCATTTTTATCTGAAAGAATAATTTCCGTAAATTCAGAATCTTTTCATGTGCTTGAAAGTAAGACGCTCTTTTCTTGCTGGCACACACATCCCACTACATTCAGTTTTATTTTAAGGCCAGTGCCCTTGAGGGTCAGAGACATTTATAAAGAAAGCTTTGAATTACTCCTACTATGGCAAGCGCCTGAGTACATTTCCCTTTTGTTGTTCTTCCAAGGACCCTAATCTTTAGAATATGATCTTTTCCTGTTGCTGCAACTTGAATGGGGAGATTTTTCATCTAAGTGCTTTACAACGCATTAGCAAAATAACCCTCAAGCTCAAAACTGCTCTGCTCAAGGCAGGGGGCTTCTTTATCCATGGCTCAATTTCTGGCTGGCAGTCTTCTTTAGGCCTTCACTCTCCCTGTCTGCAGTTGGCTATGGATTACATCACCAGCCTCCAAACTATGTGTGTGTCAATAAAGATACTATCATTTTCTTAACTCTTTACATCACTAGGAAAATTGTTAAAGAATATGTTAACCAAATCCTTCATTCTGTAGATCAGAAAATGAGGTCCAAGTAGCTTAAGTGACTTGCTTGTTATTACAACAGCCATTAATTACAGAGGTGAGTCAAGAACCTAATGCCTCAACACATTATGTCTAAAAATCATAAACTTCCTTCTGACCTCAAAGAAGGATAGTATTCAGCTGAAATAGGATCCATATTAACCCAGGACCACCCTGCTCCCCTCGCAGCATTTTACTATATCCTTAGGGGTTTCCTTATATTCTACATCTTTAAAATGTGGACAGTATTTCTTACTAGGCTGTAATTTAAAAAAGAAAATAAGTAAGCCTTTGTTCAATGCTTCTTTTAGGTCTGTGTTGAGATTTTTTTAATGCATGCAGGAGACACCAGGTTTTATCATTAGTCTCTGCCTTTATTGAAGATCAATAAACTCATGGCATTGAATTCTCAATCTGTGAATTATTAGCTCTCCACTGTACAGTTCTTATTATTCATTCAGCAACTATCTACTATATTCAAGACACATGTCAAAAATTTTTTATCAGTATGTTTTGCTTATTTCCAATCTCAAGTCTCCGACAGTGTCGCAAAGTTATAGGTTTTATTCCTTAGCTAGGTCTTAAAAATTAAATATATATGTATGTATATATACATACATATATATTTAATTTTTAATTAAGAAAAAACATAAAAATTATTTCCTGTTCAGGTTAGGAAACACTGTTCTTGTGCACATCAGGATTTAACACTTCCAGATGAGGAAGGCCATAAATTGTTACCACCAAAAGAGAAGAATATTAGTCATATAACTGTCTTTTCCACAGATAGGATCTGTCCAGATCTTTTTTCCTTTTTTGTTACTTACATGGAGGTTGAGCTTGAATGACCCAGCTGCAGTTCTGATTATTGGGATACTTGGCAGGGAACAATGGAGAGGAAATGGTATCAAAGGACTTAGTGAAAAGGAAGCCTCCACACGCTGGAAAACACACAAAGGCAATCACTTTTGATTTTTACTGGCTGTACAAAGCACTTGGGAGGTGAATAATTTTAATGAGTGAAAACATAAGTTCTTTTCCTTATTTTCATATTGAATGTCAAAAAGTCGCACATAAATCATGAGCAAATGGGAATATACTTAATATTTAGAATAATACTTTTTAAGTGGCAGGAAGTGGGGAAGTGCCATACAGATTAAGTATAGTTATGAATTAGGTGACTAATTCAAGCAAAACTCTGGCATTGATTCACTTACTCTGCCCACTCATAAACTGCAGGTACCCAATAATCTCTTTATAAATGGCCTAGTCTGTGAAAAAACAACAACAACAACAAAAAACTTGATTGAACAAGCCTTCTTAAGGATGAATGCATCTTATCAGAGAATTGCAAAGCTCGGTGGTTGTCCAACAAAGGGAAAGCATAAGTGGAGATCTCATGGATAAGGCAGAGGCTAAACAAGACACCAAAGGGTGAGGAAGACTAGCCCAGGGAGCAGACAGCCTGAGCAATGACAGAGAAGAGGGTAAGAGTCGCTTCTATGCAAATGTGGCGGAAACATGGCATATTAGAGGTCTGGCTGAAAAGATAGGTGAGAGGTAGGGGTTCCAAGGCCCATGAACAACCAGTAGAGTAATTTGGGTTTCATTCTCTAGGGAGTGTTGAGCCAGGGCTGACGTTGGAGCACTAAAGGATGCAATCAGAGCAGGACATTTGCAAATGAACTTTAGTGGTAGACAGAGAAAGGGTGGGTAAGATTGAAGGGGCTGTTATAATAGTTCAGATAAGAGGTAAGAGAATCATTAAATGAAACAAAATGTATTTGAAAACCTTTCTTTGAGAGCAGTAGGAGTGATTGATTTATGCAGTCTGTATTGCTGTACTGTCTGCACTGGTCCCGATATTACCCCCACCAGAACTCTTACCCATCGAACACTAAATGATTAAGAAGATACGCCTATTTTAAATGACAAGGATCCTCTACATAAAAAGTCAAAGCCATATTGAAACAGAGCAATATGGCTACTTCCCTCTTTGACAGTGGATAAAAGGGCTCATCTCAAAGGGTGACCAGAGGAGGGTTATGGCAGAGACGATCTGGTAGGAAAAACTGGGAAGTGGTCATTTTAGATGAACAATCATGGAAAACAACATTAATTCCTAAGTTTGAGCCAAGAATTAGGGAAGTTACTACTTTGAGGGTTAGAATCTGACTACATCAAAACACCAAGCCTTATAAAATTTATAATGGAATATCTCCTTCTAGTGTAAAGCCTTGGGGGGGGGGGGTGGAAATGCTGTACTACCTCTGGTAGAATAGTGGTTATGAATCGGGCTGCTAACCTTAAGGTCGTCAGTTCGAAACTACCAGCTGTTCCACAGGAGAACGATGAGGCTTTCTGCTCCCATAAAGATTTGCAGTCTTGGAAACCCTGTGCAGGGTCACTATGAGTTGGAACCAACTCCACAATACTTAACAACAACAACAACAACAACCTCTAGTATTGGACTCCTGGTGTGGCACTGTAGGATCAGCACTGGACTGCTAATCCTACAAGGTCAGTGGTTCAAACCCACCAAGCTGTTCCCCCCAAACCCTGTACAGGGTTGCTATGAGTTGGAATTGACTCAATGGCACTTAACAACAACAACAACAATCCCTAGTATTAAAGGTGCTTTTAAGTATCATTCTGAAAACTTGTTTGAGATACACATCTCTCCAAAGGAAGTTAACATCATCTAAATTAGACAAGATCAGAGTTAAAATTAAAAGCAACTGCATGCCATGGTGTCCTTGTTCTATTTACAATTCTCTTTGTTAAGTAGAAAGTTGTTATGAATTTCTGAGAGCCAGTCTCACTGTGTTGGATCACCAAGAGAAGCACTAAGAATCGTTCGCCTGTACGTCAGCCAAACCCACGTGGCACTTGCCTTGCCTGAAGCGAGCTCGGAAGCCCCTGCTTTGTCTGGAAGTACCAGACTGAAATCGCACAGAAAGGGTATTTCTTGAAGAGGTGATAGGGTTAGTCAGCTGCTGTCTTCCACACACACTGACAAGGCGAGTGGTTGCAGAGTTTAAGCCATCGTATGCCTACAAAGAAAGACAACAAGTAAAACTTAGAAACTTCAGATTTTCATCTATAGGACCCCTTTCCACAGGCCATCTGCCACATTGGTGAGTTAGTGGAAAACAACACATTTGCGGGACCTAGTAAAACTGACTTTCTTTTATAGTCTTGCAACACAGTTCCAGGGATCCAGTAACTCTTTGGATATTTCTAATGACATTAATATGCTTTTTCAGTGGGAGTTTTTCTACCAGAGTCACTATTAGACCTCAAGGTGACTTTATAAATGTCCCTTTAGCAGCCCTCCTTCCTCCGCTGACCCCAGTCCAGTCACATCTCAAATCACATCTCCAACATGCCCTGAAAATGTATGATACAAATGCAATATGTGAATAAATAGAGGAGAAATAATGATGGGGAACCACTCATTCTCAGAAACTCAACATTTGCTGGAATGGTTTCGTCTACATGGGGCCATGGTTAAGAAATAAAAGCAATGGCAGAATTCTTTCAAATAATGAGTGATATAAGCCTGATTTAGAAAATTCTGATTTAAAAAATGTATTGGGCTCTGGGTCTGTGCAGTGATATGCTGAGACGGCTTTACTACTCCACATGTACGAACAGAAGCTGCTGCCACTGTGCCAATCATTAGGAGTCTTCCTCTTTTTCACAGACTCTCCACTTTCCAACCATGATGTCCTTCTTCAGCGACTGGTCCCTCCTGATAATACGTCCAAAATATGAGAGATGAAGTCGTGCCCTCTTGGCTTCTATGGAGCACTGGTATGGTGATGTGGGTTAATGCACTGGACTGCAAATTCAGTTTTAGCTCACAAGGTCAGCAGTTCAAGCTCACCAGTGTTTCATTCTGCTGGAATCGCAAAGGCAAGGAATATTGTAGTCTTATCTACTATTCCACCACACCCAAATTTAGAGGTCCATGGAATAAGTAGATTCCAGATTTTCTCTCTCTAAGTCACCTTTTTCTCTCTGAAGTGGTACAGCCCTCTCAACAAAGAAGAATAAGGCTAGCGAAGTAAGATTAGATACTTCATAAAGTCACCCAAATGAGCCATTTCCCTGGAGACCCCTTAAAAGGGACAAATCTTCAGGGCTGGGAGTGGGCATGGGGTCTGCCAGGTTCCCAGGTCCACTCTGAGATCCTAAAATTATGGAAGCTCTGGCTGAGGCATTGCTTCACAAGGAATGCATCCAAACATCACGAGTCAAAATTATATAACAGAGAAACTACAAATTTAATTAGCATGTTATAATTTTACAACCTCTGGCATGGCACTGTAAGATAAATACTGGACTGCTAACCGCAAGGTTGGCGGTTCAACCCCATCAGCTGCTCCTCAGAAACCCTATTCAGGGTTTCTGTGAGTTACAACCAGCTCTACAGCACTTAATAACAACAATAATTTTACAAGCACCACCAAAGATATCCTAAGCTAGTCTTCAACAACTCTTCAAAGCTTCAAAAAAAGTCTTTTTTTTTTTTTTTAATGAAAAAGTGAGACTAAGCAAGTATGCTAGCTCTTACACTATTATGTCATGTGCTCCTCCCAAATCACACAGTTAGTGAAGATTAAGTCCAGAGCTTAAATCTTCTCTTCGGAAACCCTGTACAGGGTCGCTATGGGTCGGAATCGACTCGATGGCACTTAACAACAACAACAACAACAACATATTATTGCATACCACCTTTAAAATGTTCATGACAATTACTAAGTTGTGTGCACTAATTTTTATTTCATCAAAGTATAGGCCCTCTGGTAACATAGTGGGATACGAGTTGGGCTGCTAACTGCAAGGCCAGCAGTTCAAAACTACCAGCCACTCCAAGGGAGAAAGATAAGGGTTTCTGCTCCTGTAAAGACTTATAGCCTCAGAAACCCTACACAGGGTCCCTGTGAGTCGGAACTGACACCAATGCACATAACCACCACCACCATAGGAGGCAGTTAAAAAACCCACAACAATAACAAAAAAACCCAAAACCCAGATTGGAATAACAAGTCTTTCATTTGCTACACTAAATCAATATTCTCATATTTAAAAATTTTAATTTATTGCCATGTGGGTTCAACTGTTTGCTATAAGAAGAGCACTGCAAGGAAGAAAATGACAGAAACTTTGTCCCCATTTATTTAAAATTCAAAAGTTTTGAGAATAATTGAGATTCATTTTCCCTTACTTTCATGTAGTTCATCAGACAGAACCAGCAAATCATATCACTATTGTTGCTGTAATTAAGTGCCATTGAGTTAGTTCTGACCTATAGTGACCCTGTATAGGGTTTCTGAGGAGCGACTGTTGAGTTTGAACCACCGACCTTGCAGTTCAAGCCAACCAGCATTCAAGTGCTTACCCTACAGTGGCACACCAGGACTCCATAGACAAATATATTAATATAATTCCTAGATAGGTAATTCTTACTTAAGTCTATTACCAAGAGTTTTCTTGGCCTAGAAATTGATTTTCTGTTCTGTTATTTAAAAGGTAAAGGAGAGAGCAATAATTTTTTAATGCACATCTCAACCAACTCATTTCCAGATGACACTAATAAAATAAAATTGTGAAATATATTCACAAAAGAAAAAGTATCCACCATCCATAAAAGTGCGAACTGCTGGGGCTCTAAAACTGGAAGCAAGCTGATTAAAAGGTTACCTAAGTTCTACAGGAAACTCAATGAAATCAGTTAAATCCCTTTAAGAAGTATCTACAGCTTGATAAGATTTCCAAATACCCAAATTTAATTCTATTATATAAAAACAGGAGACTTTTAAAAGACAAAATTTGGCACAGTCAGTGGCTGATGTATAAAAGAATAATAAACATGAGTGGGGTTGAAAATTAACTTTCTTTAAAGAATTTGATCTTCCTCTTTGGTTCCTGAGTTGTTGTTGTTGTTAAGTGCTGTCCAGTCGGTTCCGATCTATAGCAACCCTATGTAAGGTTTCTGAGAAGCAACTGGTGAGCTTGAATTCCTGACCTTGTAGTTCAAACTGACTTTGAAGTCCAGCACATTAACCCACAGCACCACATCCTGAGACAGAACCTCAAAAACCTTAGACTTCCCGACTTAACCTAGGTTGCGTGCTAATTCAGGTTAGAATGACCACGGCATGGTATCAGCAGACATGGGGTGCTGAGGATTCCTGAGTTTATGGCAGATATCCTAAAGGAGTAGTGGACAATCATGAACTTGTAAACAAAAGGTGAGAAGTTGAGTGTCATGGGGGATATTAAAGACTGTCTGGCAGAAGACTAGAGCAGAGAATGAAGCATCCAGCTGATATGAAGTGAAGGGAGATACACAAAAAGGCCCATACTTGCAGATAGTACCCATTTGACCTAGATTCAATGGCTGGATGATCAGAACTCGACTTGAGGAAGAAAGAAGAGGAAAAAAAGTGCAATCCACTACAATTTGATGAACTTGACCTATACTTATGGAGGTAGTAACTTAAAAGAAGGAAGGAATCTTCACAGCAAGGATCATTCCTACCCCCTCTGTATACAGGGTTGACAGGGATGGGCAACTTAGACATTGGCTACCTAAAAGGAGATGCTATAAAGGCACAAAGTGACTGGCTTACAAGTTTTCCAGAGGGAGTTTAGTTTCAGAGGGAATGGGGGAAGTAAACTCTCCACTGAGTCGTTTTCAACCTGTCTGGACGGGGCTGGTGAAAGGAGATGGGGATAAGACTCTTGTGGTTCAATACTGAATAATTGTTATCAGGACTGATTGTGATTGTTGCAAATGTAAAGGTAGACATTTTGTAACAGAAAGAGGGGAGTGGTTGATCTTACAGTCCAGGAGCAGAGGACTCTAGGACCACTAAGGGAGCAGAGCAGAGTGCGGGACCCTATCCAGAGAAGTGGTGATGCCAGAGATGGAGGTAGAGATGACATGGAGAGATGGAGTGGCTGGGGACTCTAGACTCATGGAGGGAGAAGGGCTGTGGGTTGGCAGCCATGGGGCAGGCTTGCAGGGTGTGCACTTTGGTTGTCTGAATGATTATATATTCCTGAGTGTTTTGGTGTACATCCAAAACCAAACCAAAACAAAACAAAAAACCAGAGGGAATAGAAGCAAATACTGTTGAATGATGATGCATGGACGGGATTGTAATCATTACAGTGAAACGAAAATAAGAGGAGTGTAAAGCTGATGTTCTTCCATGTAAACTATCACTCAATTCATAATAAAAACTTAAATAAAATTTTAAAAAGATTGTGTTTGGTATCTATGGTCTTGGGCAAACATGGTTTTCTGGAGGACTATGTATCCTTTTATTTGTGAAGTCTGAACTATCTTCAGGTGGTTAGGGTCAGGGAAAGAGGTGCTGGTATCAAAACAGAAGGGTATAGAATTGGTAATGCATTCGTTTTTATTTGATTTACAAATTTGTTGCCACTTCTCCCCCACTCAGTATGTATGTATATGGCCTCTAAGAACAAGGTCTGTTGTTAGGCGCCATGGAGTCAGTTCTGACTCATAGTGACCCTATATACAACAGAATGAAACACTGCCCCATCCTGTGCCATTTTCAAAATTGTTCCATTTGAGCCCATTGTTACATAACTGTGTCAATCCATCAAATTGTGTGTCCTTTTCTTTATCACTAAATCTCCACTTTACCAAGCATGATGTCCTTTCTCCAGGACTGACTGGTCCTTCCTAACACCATGTCCAAAGTACAGGAGACTGAGGATGACGAGCCTGAGATGATGAATGTGACACCATTCCTATTGTATTTGTCGTTCCTGGCACAGCAAAATATGCTGTCTGATCCATTTCAGCTCACTTATGTCTAGGATATTGATCATTATCTGTTTCATTTCATTTTTGACAACTTTCCATTTTTCTAGATTTCACACTTCATATATTCCATGTTTTGAGGGATGTTTGTAGCTATTTCTTCTCAGTTTTATTTGTACCACATTAGCAAATGAAGTCTGGGAAGTTTAACTCCATTCCCATCATATAGTCAACTCTACTTTGAGA